CAACCAATCCGGGACAGTATCATGCGTGACCTTTAAGCGGATACGTGTCACGCGCCACTCTAAGCGGGCAGCACGAGCTGTGCATGGGTACGGAAGTCTGCTGGGCCAATCCCCAACAGGGAAGCAGGCGCCATCTTTAGGGCATTGTCCAGCTGGAGTGGGGCTCAGCCTCGGCCATAGGCCAGGCCCCCACAGGATGGAGCTTTGGGGCTCTGGAGAGTGCCTGACCTGTTGGGACGAGGGAGGGCTGGGGCACTGTTGTCCACCTGCCCTTCTTCCTGTGGAGAGAGATCCATCCAACCCTGGCCCTTCTGACACCCCTCCTGCTGCTGAAACATCTTTCAACCTGCTGCCTCTGTGTTGGGTTTCAGCAGGGCCAGTGGAGCATACCTGTCTTCCACAAACAGATGCAGTCTCAGACTCCCAGAGGAGTCTGACTCTCCCTGGACTCTCAACTCTCAACTCTCCCTGTTGTCCAGCCCAGCTAATCACCACAACCCAATGCATTGTGGACTTGAGTTCCCAGAGCAGATCTCCAGGGCCAGGTGTTAGGTGTGTCTGAGTGCCTATCCCCCTCCCTGCTCCATTCCTCTTCCTCCCACCTTTTGGCTGGGATCAGGAGGGACTTAGATCCTGCTCTATGGCAGTTCTACCACTTTACCCTTCCTCGTGTGGTCTTCTCTTCTTCCCAGGTGCAGATGGTCTGTTCTGCAGTCTTCAGGTCTTTTTCAGGTTTAGTTGTATTTTCTGTAGTTGCTTCCTGTTTGTGTGTGCATGAGGAGGTTTCCACTTTGCCCTCTTACTCCACCATCTTTTTTCACCCTCCCCTCAATTTGTTTTTTCTAATCAATTTTATTGATGGCCTTTTGTACATACAATACAATTGGCTCATTTTAAGTATGCAATTTATTAAGTTTTGAGAAATCTGTATAGTTGTGTATCCACTTTTGTGCTCAAGATATTAAACATTTTCATCACCTAGAAAAACTTTTTAGTAACACTTTGTAGTCAATTTCCCTGTCCTACTCCTGGCACCAATCAATAAACTGCTTTCTGTCTCTATAGATTAGTTTGCTGTTCTAGAAGTTAATATAAATGGAACTAATATAATATGCACTCTTTCTGTTCAACTCCTTTTTTCTCAACGTAAAGTTTTTGAGCTTCTTTATTGTTGTGTGTAACACTAGTTTGTTCTTTTTATTGCTGAATAATATTCCTCTGAGTGGCTATACCACAATTTCATTATTCTTTTACCAGTTGTGGACATTTGGATTGTTTCCAGATTGTATTAGGAATGTACTTTCTGTAAATATTCATGTACATGTCTTTTTGTGAGCATATATTTTCATTTCTCTTGCTTAAATTCTAGGAATAGAATTGTTGAGTCATGTGGTGGTGTGTTAATTTTGTAAAAAACTGTCTAACTGTTTTGAAATGAGGTTGTACCATTTTATAGTCCCACCAGCAATGTGTAACTCCATTTGCTGTGCAGCCTTGCTAACACTTGGTATTTTCAGTCTTCAATTTTAGCCATTCCCCTGGCCATGTAGTGGTATATCTTTGTGATTTTAATTTTCATTTCCTAATAAATAATGTTATTGGGCATCTTTTTGTATGCTTATTTGACATCTACATGTCTCTAGTGAAGTGTTTGTTCAAATCATTAGTCTCTTGTCTTTACTGAGTTCTTTGTCTTCTTAGTACTGAGTTGTAAAATTTTTTTTCTATATTCTAGACACAAGTCCTTTGTTGTATATGTTTTTTAAAATATTTTCTCCCAATGTATGGTTTTCCTTTTTATTTTCTTCACAGTGTCTTTTGAAGAACAAAAGGTTTTGATACTCTTGAAGTCCAGTTTAATGAATTTTAGAAAAAAATAATTCAGAAATTATTTATAAGAAATCTTTATAAAATTTAATGTCATTAAGATTTCTCCTGTTTTCTTCTAGAAGATTATAATTTTAACTCTCCCATTCACAGAAATAGAACAAACACTCCTAAAATTTGTGTGAAACCACAAAAGACCCCAAATAACCAAAGATACCTTGAGGAAAAAAACAAAGCTAGAGGCATCATGCTCCCTGATTTTAATCTATATTACCAGGCTATAGTAATTAAAACAATATGTTACTGGCACAAAAGCAGACACATATATCAATGGAACAGTACAGAGTAACCAGAAATAAACCCACACTTACATGGTCAATAACTATAGGACAAAGGAGGCAAGAATATACAATGGGAAAAAGACACACTCTTCAATAAATGATGTTGGGAAAACTGAACAGCTACATGCAAAAGCATGAAACTCAGCCACTTTCTTACCCCATACACAAAAATAAACTCAAAATGGGTTAAAGACCTAAATACAGGACCTTAAAACACAAAATTCTTAATAGAAAGCATAGGCAGTAAACTCTTAGGCATTGGCCTTAGCAACATTTTTCTGGATATTGCTCCTCAGCAAGGGGGAAACAGAAGCAAAGTAGACATTTGGGACTACATCAAACCAAAAAGCTTTTGCACAGCTAAGGAAACCATCAACAAAACAAAAAAGCAACCTATAAGTGGGAGAAGATTTTTGCAAATGATGTATCAGATAAAAGATTAATATCCAAAGTATATAAAGAACTCATACAGCTCACCACCAGAATACCTAAATAACCTAATTAAAAATGGGCAGAGGATCTTAATAGACATTTCCATAGAAGATGGCCAACAGACACATGAAAATATGCTCAACATCACTTATCATGAGGGAAATGCAAATCAAAACCACAATGAGATATCACATAATACCAGTCAGAATAGCTGTTATCAGAAAGACAAGAAATTAACATCTGCTGGTGAGAATGTCAAGAAAAGAGAATGCTTGTGCCTTGTTGGTGGGAATGTAAATTGGTGCAACCACTATGGAAAACAGTATTAAAGTTCATTAAAAATTAAAAATGGTAATACCATATGATCCAGAAATTGCACTTCTGGGTATTTATCCAAAGAAAATGAAAACACTAACTTGAAAATAATATACACCTATGTTTATTTCAATAGTCAAGATAGGGAAGCAACCTAAGTGTCCATCAATAGGTGAATGGATAAAGATGTTGTATATATACACATGGAATATTACTCAGCCATAAAAAGAATGACATCTTGTCATTCTCAACAACATGGTTAGACCTAGAATACATATTATGCTATGTGAAATAAGCCAGAGCAAGACAAATACCATATGAGTCTACTTATACATGGAATATAAAAAAAACAAAATAAATGCTCAAACAAACAAAAAACAGTACAAAAAATAAACTAGGGGTTGCCAGAGGAGATCAACATGGGAGATAGACAAAATGGGTAAAGGGGACTTAAAGATACAAACTTCCAATTATAAAATAAGTCATGTACAGCATAGGATGAAATACTATAACAAGTATAGTCAGTAAAAATATGTAAAATAAAATACAAAAAGATATCCTTGTGAAAGTGGAATAGTTGGGTGAGGTGAGGTGGATAATGCTGTGGTTCCTCTGAACAATCAAAAGGATAAAATAAGAAATATGGGACATATTTTAGGTAGGCCTGGATAGAATTCCCAAAACTTGGCCCAGTTTTGCATAGTATACACACTAGATGGTAAGTTACTAATTACTAATAGACCATAGATAGGAATCCTATAATCAAAATAATGAAATAAATTGAAGGAAGTCAGAGTGAGACAGTTACGATGGGGTGTTTTGATTTTCACCTAGATACTCTACATTTCCTCATTTCTCTACACCATCAATTACATCTGGTATCTGTACAAAGAAATGAGGGTGAAACACAACCAGAGTGGACAGAGCACATTTCCACTGGTAAGTTTTATTTAGAGTTAATAGTTGAAAGTAGTTTGCTAAAACTAACCTATATATCCTCTGCACTGGTGAATTCATGGAGTTTATAAAAGAAAAACTGTTTTCACAGAGTTTCCATTCTGCTGTCTGGTTCCATTCAGGAAGGGAGTCTTCTTGGCTCCATGGCAGTCCATCAGTATTGCTAGAATAAAGAAAAAGCTTTTGGAGAAGTCAGGGAAACTGCTTGGCCTGCTAGTATTGGAAAGGGAGGGTTAGTTCTGCTCTGCTGTATTTCTTCACTATGTGTGCGTAACAGATACTGGCTTGCAGAAAGGCAGCGGAATTAGTGTTTAGTAATTAGAAAGCAAGATGGATCCAAAGAGCAGTTGTCTTTCCTTTTGTGGTTCACAAGGAGTTTTGGGCACTGTCTAGCACTGCAATTCTGAAAGAGAGAAGACTAAGTCAGTACATCTGGATTTTTCTTTGTATATTCATATTCTTCATATCACATAATTCACCTATTTCAAGTACAATTTAGATAAACTTACTAGGTTGTACAGTCATCATCATAAATCAGTTTCAGATTATTTTCTTCACCTGAGTAAAATCTTTCATGCCCATTTCCTGTTAATCACCTTCCTACCTGCTGCAGTAGGTAACCACTAGTCTGTTTTCTGTCTCTAGATTTTCCTTTTCTGGACATCAGTATATAGTCTCTTGTGTCTGATTTATTTCACTTGGTATTATGCATTTGAAGTTCATCCATCATAGCATGTATTAAGTAATTCATTTTTATTGCTGAATAGTATTCCATTGTATAGTACTTTTAGTTTTTTATTTCTAATTATTTCAGTATATAAATAAGTGATCTTTGCAGAAGACATTTTCATGATGTTAGCAATTTTCACTTCTTTAAATTTCTTTATATGTTTTAATTCTGTTATACATATCTTAGCAAATATTGTAGTCTTCTTATTTCTGCAGTATCCATTCTGTTGTGGTTTTCTGAAGCAGAATTTCTAAGGGCACCATGGAGTAAATGAATTTGGAAAGCCTCCCAGCATATCTTTTCTAGAGTCTACAGATCAGTTCTACAATAAATGAAAGTAGTCTATTGTCATGCACATGAAACTTAGTATTTGTTAAATGAATAAATGGTACCATAGCATTGTAATAGAAGATTTGAAGGTGAATCTAATCTGTCTTCCAAACTCACTTTTGTCTTTTATCTCCTGTATGACCTTTTGTCTAATTTATTTCACTTAGCATTATACATTATCTCCCTTTCTTGTACCTTAATTTTTCATCATAAAATGAAATATAGGTCTATGTGACTTTAATGTCCCTTTCAGCTCTAAAATGCTGTATATTCTTAAATCCTCATGTGACTGTCTTCTTAAAAAGATAATCTTGCTTTTTCTCTAGCCTTGTTCTATATACACACTGTTGGAGAAGGTCAGATACACAGAATTCATTTAGAGGTTTTTTTTTCCTTCTTTTGCTGTAAGGAGATAGAGCATTGAGGAAATCATTGAGGAATTAATATGAAGAGACCCCTTAATTAGCATCCTGGACAAGACCTTGGAGTCTATACAAGCACTGTGCAGTAGAACTTTCTGCAGTAAGGAGAATATTTTATATACTGTCCCATTCAGTAGCCACTAGCCATATGTGACTATTGAGCAGTTGAAATGTGGCTGGTGTGACTGAGGAACTGAATTTACTTTAAACTTGTACAGACTCTCAGCTCCTGCAATTTAGTAATGAATCATGGCTATATATCCTTTTACATGTTTGTCTATAATCCTAGAATCCTAGAGCTGGAAGATACTGGAAAGAAACATTTAGTTCATTTCCCTCTCTTAAGGCAGATGAGTGTCAGAAAAGTTTGACAGCCTTATAGAGGTAGTATCTCAAGTTTTTATTTATTCATTTACTCACAAGTAAAGAGACTGACTGGCATTTGGGAAAGGTTATTTGGCCACCGAGTCATTCCCTAAAGAAGTTGCCATGATGAGACCAGAATTCAAGGACAGGAAAAACAGGGGAATATTTTTCTGAGGTTTGGGCTCCTGACAGGAGAAAATTTAATCTTTGAAGGAAAAGGGAGGGAGAAACATAAGATTAACTTTCATACATGGTATTCTGCTCCCTATGCATGGAAGTACATATACTGTGCTTCTCTTTATAACCCATGCTATGACACTAGTTCCAAGAAGACAAACACTAGCCTGAAATTTTAACCCCACTGCCTATTTTTCTGTCATTTGCTATTATACCAGGAGTCCTGAAGATTTTTTTCATTTTTGAGTTCTTTTAAACACTCTAGCAAGACTTCTGCCCTACCCTATTATCGGGAAGCTTTTTATTAGACATTCATTGATAGCCAGGGAAGAGTAAGAATCAAACACAGGTTAGATAGCCACCTGATGGACAGAGGATAGACTAAAAAGAGAAGAAGGAATATGGGTGGGAGGAGTTACCAAGGATTAATTTTACTTATTTCCCATTTTACCTAAATCATTTGCTATTCCTGATCCAAAGTTCTTAAGGCAAACAACTATCCATCTCTTATTATTCATTAGTTGCTCACTTAATGCTTATGCATCCCTAACATGTCATTCTAGAATATAATATGATCTGTATCTTTAGAAAAAGGCTTTTTTTCTATTCTTTTATCTCTTTAAGGTGTTCTGTTTAAAATCTTTCACCATATACTTCTAGGGGTATGGACTATTCTTCTGTAAGTTGTTTTACAGTGTCTAACACAACTAGGGATTTTTTTCAATGTTCTTACTTCTGGAGTCTAGGAAGTCTACATCCAAAGGGCTTATTTGACCCTGGACTATTACTCTTTTTGCTGGTCATCTTATAGACTCTCATTCTACCCACAAGGTCTGAAAAGTCCACACCTCCTGGGATCTAAAAGAGAAGAGGATTGAACTATTTCAGAAGATGGAGGATTACTGCATGATTTCATATTTGCCTTTCCTCTTAAAGATAATTTATGGTATCCAAATTTTATCCTAAGTTACTTCCTGAAGGCTTTCTTTGTGGCAGTTTTGTTGTACTTTTTAGATTATAGTGATAAAGATAAAACTCTCCTATTTCCAATGCTAAGGAACTACCTATTGAATTTTATAGCAAACGTTAGTTGATGGAAGCAAGCTGAATCTTGGGAACTTCTGTTCTATCAAGTTGTAAATTAAGACCTGGTATTTATTATAATCTGATTGGAAATATCTTAAGACATTACCTATATTTATTCTTTTCATAGGTTATAGATTATACTTGTCGACTTGGCCCAATAGCCATTGTTTTTTCAAGGTAAGATTTTTGCTTTCCTTCCTAGCAAGAAGGTGTAGACTCTCCTTATTCTGAGGTCCAGGTGGGAATAAATAGGAGGACAGATCCCTTTATTTCCATTGAGTCTGTCACTACTAGGTCCTTATAGAGCCTTACTGAGTGGAAAACAAAAAATACATGATCATTGATTCCATTGTTCAGGATACAGTAGGCAAGCAGTTTCAAGTTACCAATTGGGCTTTCAGCTCCAATTCTACCATCAATTCTATATGACTTTCAACAAATAGTTCTCTTTATGTCATTGGACTTTTAATTCCCTTTCATATGTCATAAAGAGTTGTAACAGATAGCTTTCAAGATCTCATCCACCTTTATAATATTGGATGAAACTTACAACTATTTAAACACAATAAGGGTCTGGATCTCATCTAAAGTGGTGGTCCCACTGAGTTGGTTTTAGACTTTTTAAAAATAGACTGGATCTATTCCTTACAGGGAGCTGTCTCTATTTAGTTGGATAAATAATTCTTTATTTAAAGGTATTCTTTGGAAAAGCTACCAGGAAAAGGCTGATGAGCATGAAGTTATTCCTGGTCACTATGGAAAGTGAGCACAGAATTCTTTGGTAGATTTTTACTCTTTCTGTGACCCACTTGGAATTTTATCTGACCATACAACTTCCAGAGACTCCTCATGAAACCCTGTTAGGGTTTTAATCTAGGTATAATATGCATTTCCCATTACACTTCTCCAGGAATTAGAATATTTAAGCTTTTTGAGATATTTTTCTTGAAGAAATTAAATTTATGTATTTTTGGAGAGTGATGGGATGATGGAGTTGGGAGAGGAACACAGAATATTTTACAAGGGGAAAGGGCATAAAAAATTTGGAATATTAGGGTGATACGTTTTTTTCTTTTCCCTCCCAGCCTGATACCTGTGCTTTTGATGATTCCTGTATTCTGTTTGGGCAATGCTAGGGAATGTTTCTGCAACTTCAGCCAGAGCCACAGGTAGCTAAGAACTAAATCTATCATTTTCATGGTTGATTACACCAATTCTTTTTTGTAAATAGAGGTGGAAGACTTTCTACATACATTCCAGTCACAGTGTTTGTATTTGAAATGGACTATGGAACAAGGTGTAGTCAAGACTAAAAATACAAAAGTATAAATAAATTGCAAAATAAGTGGAGAATAATGTGTCTATGAGAAGGAAAAAAGTCTTATGGGCAAAGGATAGCAAAATGATAAGTAAAATTGCATACTCATTAATTGTTGTTGCACTGAATGGGTATCTCTCTAACATTCTATGTGTAGCAGTACTCCTGTCCCTTGATTCTCTTCCTAGGTGTATCCTGATGTACTCACCACCATCAGCCATAGCTGAACTCCTGCCTTTTGCCAACATATCAGTCTGTAGCACACTTTACTTTTATCAGCTCATAACTTTCCTGGCCAGCTTTCTACTCAGCCTCTTCATCATTGTGGTATGATGCTTTTATGGAAAGAGAGGGTATTGGGAGGGATGGAGCAGTATTCCCAGGGCCTGGGAAAAACAGGATAGAGAGGCACTTACTGAAGTCCTAGAACTTTGGATAGTGTATAGGAGATACTGACAGTTTAATTACTACCTGTTTTTTGGACTTCCCAGGATGAAATGATGCATGGTGAAAAGAGCCTGTATTAATTATGTAAGAATTATGTATCAGTCTAGAATTAATATATGTTCCTGTGGATCCTCATGGAGGACTAGATCAGAAAACTAGTCCGTATTAAGGATGTCCTTTTTACAAGATGATGGTCTGGAACCTAGGACTTGTGCTTTAATATCCCAAATAATGAAAGAGTTTTCTCAATACTTTATTAGCTATGAATTTGCATTTATGCTATTGCTAACTGGGGTTAAAGTGCTAAGTGGCTCAGGCACTTATTAAATACTCATTTGACACCATCAGACTGATGTACAGTTAAAATGATCAGCCATGGAGCAATACATTATATATTATTTATACATATACATACATTATTACAATTTTTATACTGCCTAGTACAAAATTAGTAAGCAAGCAAATATGCTATTTTTATTTACCATATCTACTTTTCAGTATCATTTTCTTCTTTCTTCATATGCTAGTTCAGGAATTACAAACTACCTGCCTATAGACCAAATTAATACCACAAATATGTTTGTTTTGCTAGCTCCGTTAGCACATGTAAATCAAAAGTAATTGTGGAGAACTTCCTTTGGCAATTCAAAAATAATTTATCAAGATAGCTTAGCTCAAATCAGCAACTTTGTAAAGAGTTGCCAATGACTAGTTTATACTAAAATAGCTTTGATATTTATATTAAAGTTATACAAAATAGTTTGTATTAAAATAGGTTTACATTTAGACCAGATTGACAAGAGACAGTTCTCCCAAAGCCTGGCATCCTGGGGAGCCCTGTTTGTTTCTTCAGAGTAACAGAGGCTTCAGTGGGCATTCAGAATCAGGATCCTGATTCTTTTTTACCATATATTTTTAATTGAAGTATAGTTGATACACAATATTATATTGGTTTCAAGTATAAAACATAATGATTTGACAGTTATATACATTATTAAGTGCTCACCCCAACTGGTATAGTTAGTATCTATTAACACAGAAAGATGACACAGAAATATTGGCTATATTCTCTATGCTGTACTTTCATCCCTGTGACTAATTGATACTATGATTGAGATTGTATGCCTCTTTATCCCCTTCACCTATTTCACCCTCCCACCCCAACTCCACCCCCATGGTAACCAACAGTTACTTCTCAGTATCTATGAGCCTACTGTTATTTTATTCATATTTTGTTTTGTTTAGTTTTTAGATTTCACATATAAGTGAAATCATATGGTGTCTGTCTTTCTTCACCTGGCTTATTTCACTTAGTAAAATATCCATGTTGTCACAAATGGTAGGAATTCTTTCTTTTTTATGGATGAATAATAGTCCATTGTACATAAGTACCACATCTTCTTTATCCATTCATCTATTGATGGACACTTAGGTTGCTTCCAAATCTTGGCTATTGTAAATAATGTGGTGATAAACATAGAGATGCATGTGTCTTTTTGAATCAGAGATTTTGTTTTCTTCAGGGAAATTCCTGGAAGTGGGATTACTGGGCCATATGATATTTCTATTTTTAGCTTTTGAGGCACCTCCATACTGCTTTCCACAGTGGCTGCACCAGTTTACATTCCCACCAACAGTGTAGAAGTATTATCTTTTCTCCACATGCTCATCAACACTTGTTATTTCTTGTCTTTTGGGTGCTGGCCTTTCTATCTGCTGTGAGGTGATACCTCATTGTTGTTTTGATTCACATTTCCTTGATGATTAGCGATGTGGATCATCTTTTCATGTGCCTGTTGAGTATCCATATTTCTTCGTTGAAGAAATGTCTGTTCAGGTCCTCTGCCCATATTTTAATTGTGTTAATAGTTCTTTTGGTGTTGAGTTTATGAGTTCCTTATTTATTTTGGATGGTAACCCCTTATCAGATAAGTCATTTGTGAATATATTCTCCCATACTGTAGGTTGCCTTTTCATTCTGTTGATGGTTTCCTTTACTGTACAGAAGTGTTTTACTTTGATGTAGTTCCACTTGTTCATTTTTTATTTTGCTTCCCTTGCCCAGGGAGATATGTCCAGAAACAAAATGTTTATGCTCATATTCAAGAGATTTTTGCTTATGTTTTCTTCTAAGAATTTTATGGTTTCATGTCTTACATTCAGGTCTTTGGTCCATTTAGAGTTTACTTTTGAACATGGGTTTAGACAGTAATACAGTTTCATTCTCTTGCATGTAGCTGTCCAGTTTTCCCAACACCAGTTATTGAAGAGGCTGTCTTTTCCCCATTGTATATTCATGGCTCCTTTATTGTATATTAATTGACCATGTATCTGTGGGTTTATATCCAGGCTCTCTATTCTGTTCCACTGATTTATAGGTCTGTTCTTGTGCCAGTACCATACTGTTTTGATTATTATAACTCTGTAGTACAGCTTTAAGTCAGCAATCATGATACCCCAGCTTTGTTCTTCTCTCTCAGGATTGTTTGGCTATTCAGGATCTTTTGTGATTCCATACAAATTTTAGGATTATTTGTTCTAGTTCATTGAAAAATGCTGTTGGTATTTTGATAGGAATTACATTGAATCTGTTAATTGCTTTGGGCAAGATGGCCATTTTGACAATATTAACTCTTCCTATCCATGAGCATGGGGTAGATTTCCATTTATTTGTGTCTTTTTAATTTATTTCATAAGTGTCTTACAGTTTTCAGAGTATAGGTCTTTGACCCTCTTAGTTAGGCTTATTCATAAGTATTTATTCTTTTAGATCAGGTATAAGTGGAGTTGTTTTCCTTATTTCTCCTTCTGCCAGTTCATTGTTAGTATATAGGAACATAGATTTCTGTATACTGATTTTGTATCCTATGACTTTTCTGAATCCATTTATTCTAACAGTTTTTTGGTGGAGTCCTTAGGGTTTTCTAAATATAGTATCATGTCATCTGTAAATAGTGACAGTTTAACTTCTTCCTTACCAATCTGGATACATTTTATCTCTGATTCTCTTTTAATCAACCAATGGTTAACTGATTCTACAAGACATATTCTCAAATTCAAGCCTCCTTTGAAAAAAATTTTGTTGTTTTTTATTGATGTATTGTTGATATACAATCTTATATTGGTCTCAAGTGTACAACAAAGGTTCAATAGCCACCCATATTATCAAATCCTCACCCCACCAGTGCAGCCACTATCCATCAACATAGGAAGATGGTCCAGAATCATTGACTATATTCTTTATGTTGTACTATCCCCATGACCAACTTATATTATAACTGAGAACTTTTGTGCCCCTTTATCCCCCTCACTCTACCCATCTAACCACCACTACCCCTCCCACATGGTTAACCACCAGTCACTTCTCAGTGCCTGTGAGTCTACTGCTATTTTGTCCATTTTGTTTTGTTTTTAGATTCCACAAATAAGTGTAATCATAAGGTATCTGTCTTTCTCTGCCTGGCTTATTTCACATATCATAATACCCTCTAGGTCCATCCATGTGGTTGCAAATGGCAGGATTTCTTTCTTATGGCTGGGTAGTCTTCCATTGTGTTTATGTACATCTTTATCCATTCATCTGTTGAGGGACACTTAGATTGCTTTGGCTTTTGTAAATAATGCAGCAGTAAACATAGGGGTGCATCTATCTTTTTGAATCAGGGATTTTGTTTTCTTCAGGTAAATTCCTGCAAGTGGAAATACTGGGTCATATGGTATTTCTATTGTTTATTTTTTGAGGACCCTTCATACTGCTTTCCACAGTGGCCATACCAATTTATATTCCCACCAGCAGTGTAAGAGAGTTCCCTTTTCTCCACATCCTTGCCAACCCTTGTTTTTCCTTGTCTTTTGTTTGGATGGTAGCCATTCTAACTGGTGTGAGGTGGTATCACACTGTGGTTTTGATTTGTATATCCCTGATGATTAGCAATGTGGAACATCTTTTCATGTGCCTTTTTCAAGCCTCCTTTTGATTCCTCTGTCTGTGGGGAAAGGAAACTACATGGCTAAACTTACATAATTGGTTTATTAATTTAGAGAGTGGATCTGGATTATTAGGGAAAAGCTTCAGATTTGGTCAGATTTGTCACCAAAATTATGACCTAATTTACTCTCCAGAAAAAGCATATTGGACAAACTGATTAATATTTCTTTCATTAGCCTGACTTTACTCAGAGAACCTCCACATAGAAGGGAAAAATAGATTCTAAGGGCAAGAAGAGACTTCCTAAAACTTATTTTTGCTTAGAGTTGGGAATTTAATCTTAGCCAGGGTGCTAAAGTATTTATTTTTTAAGTTATTAAGCATATAACACTTTCTAACACAATCTCTAAAAAGTATTTTTAAAGAGAATCTAGTTAGATCTAATTACTAACTTTCCACGCACATTGTGATTAGCCTCAATGAGAAAAAAAACCTGAGATTGATGTAAGGTTCATGTATTGAACATAGTAACCCTAAGGCTGGCTAATATCTGTCCATTTCCCTTGCCAAACAGAAGTTCACTCTGAAGATAATATTCTCTAAGTTTAAAAAGCCTCATATCAGATAGTGAAGACAGAAAAATGGTCTTTCTTACTGTCAGATAATAAGAGAAAGATCCCTCTAAAATGATAGGAGGCTAGACCTAGGAAGTTTTATTAAGCCTCAGGAAAAGTACTCACTGCTATACCCATGTTTAGGTCTTACTCATCCAAGCCCAGACACTGTACAAGAAGTTTCTGAAATCGACGGGCTTTCTGGGGAGTGAACAATGGGCAGTGATTTATATTATGGAGCAGCGAGTGTGCTTCTACCCAGTGGCCTTCTTTTGCTGCTGGGGCCCAGGTGGGTATCTTAATGGAAAGAGCTGGGCAATGAAGAGGGCAACTGTTGGGTTCTGATAAAGCAAAGTGGTCTCACTCAGATGGATGACTGCATGTTCCTGTCCAGCTTGTACAATTTATATTGGTCCCACCCATATTTCCAGTTTTTTCCAATTCTTCTTAACTTCTTATGTTTTAGGAGTTAAGATAATTAGACATGACATGCAGCCTGACATAAGAGGAAATGTCCTGACAGAACTCAGAGATATTAACACCTGCCCTTCCTACTATACAAAGTATTATTAAGATTGGGTAATGTTTATAAAAAAGCTTGGTAAACTCTAAAATGCTAAGAAGCGTGATTTATTGTCTTCCTGTAGTATGTCTTGCCACCATTACTACACTAATAATTAGCAAAATTTAATCAATGAGGAATAGATGTTGGAGATCTGAGGCCCAGTGGTTTATATAATTGATTAATCTCCCTGTTAGTCATTATGATGCCTATAATTTCCATTCTCACAATGCTTAGGCTTATATACTGAAGAGTTTTATGCTCAGGCAGCCAGGGCTTATGACACTTTGTGTTTTCACAGCTGTCATTTTGGTGATCATAAAGTTGACTAAGCCACAGGACACCAAGCTTCACCTGGCCCTCTATGTTCTCCAGGTAACACCTTCAATATCCAGCATCTCCGTTCTCACACACTCTTGTACTACTACTGCTGTTATTCACTAAGCATATATTTCCCTCAGGGTACTGACATCTACATTACAAAAGAGGAATGTATTATTTATAGTCAGTTATGAAAAATATGAATTTTTCCTTATAAATGAGGTAGATGATTTTATTAAAATGCTGCCATGCATTCCACAGCATATGTATCTTCGGTCAACTTCATTTTATTGATGTGTTTTTAAGGGATGCATAATAAAATACAAGATTCACCAGATAATGTTCACATGAAACATTGACAGTGGCTTGTGCTCTCCCATCTAGAGTGATTTGAATGAGATAAATTAGCTATTCCAGGTGAATGGGGAGGGAGTAGTAGAGAAGTGGAATGATTTTTCTCTTTTTTCCTCCTTTATTAGATTTTAAAAGGCTTTTGGACTATTTAACTATGCTGATAGGGTAGTTTTCTCAAGCCCAACCTAGGAAATGGGGCAATAAGGAGAGACATTGGAACTACTTCATTGTACTTATGTTAATACTATGAAATATGACTAACTGTTGATCATCCATAACAAGGTACAGTGTGAACAATGAGTTCAGGAAGACCTAGAAAAATGTAAAAAACTAAACCAGATCTTGATGTTTAAGAGAGAGGAAATATAACAATGCTTTGTAAGTAAGGGAAATGGGGACTATTCCCTGGATCTCTGAAAACTTGAAGGACAGGCTTCATCATCCCTTCATCTTCTCCAGGCTCTAACAGCATCATCCCAGGGTCTGCTCAACTGTGGAGTATACAGCTGGACACAGTACAGATTCTACCAAGTAAAGCAAGAGGCCCGGCATGATGCAGACACCCAGACACCATTATTATGCTCACAGAAGAGATTCTATAGCAAGACCCTAGATCCACTGGAATCTACCTTTGCTTTTACTACCAGCACCTCCACCATTCTTTGAAACTATAATACTGGAGTATCCAGGAATTGGAATTATTCCACACTAATGGACTGGGAGGTGTTAGGATACAACATTTAAGTCTTTCCCAACCATGCCTTAAACTGTGGAAGTGAAAGTGAATATAATGTCATGGTTAGTAGCTATTCTAGGTGAATTGGGCAGGATCTCTGTTATTCGCAGATTCACTAGTGATTCTTAAAGTCTTTGTTCAGAGAGATGGGGTCACTTCCCATCTTAAGAGATAGACTAATATTACCTTGGTGAATATTAGATTTGTATAAGTCTCTTCTAGAAAAAAAATAAATTCCAGGTTATTTCCAGGTTCTCTACTCCATTGTTGTGGGTGAAGTAGGGTGGCATTCCTCAACTTGCTCAGATCTTGCCATTGCTTTTACTCTGTCTGAGGATGGACAAGATAAGTCCTAGGTTTCTCTTCTTTGAAGAGTTTTGGAAAATCAGAAGAAGCAAGAAAAACTGTCAAAAACTGACAAAAAATTGACTAGTCTTCTTTATGTTCAGTGCTGTTTTTGTCTCTTGACAATAGGGACCATTCTGCTCTAGAAATTAACGCCAATCTTTTGAAGTCACAGGGATGATAACAGTTAATAGAAAACAGGACTAAAAGGAACTGTAGGAATCAAGAACTCTCAACTCTCATTTCCAAGCAGAAGTACAAGGTAGGTTTCATAGTGCCTGGATATAGAATTGGGTTAAACTATATGAACTTGCCATTTTGAAGATGGTCCAATTTAATCAGTTTTACATAGTTCAGCTTAGCAGTAAGCACTAAATATATGTTTATAGAATAAATAAATAAACAAGTGAATGAATGACTAATAAGTAGAATTTGAATCTTTTAGGAAAGATTCCCAGACCGCAGAGCCTCATTCTTAGGTAAGAATTTCTAATCTGTTTTTTCCACTTTAATCACATAATAAGTAATATTTTATCTCTCCAGTTATGTTAGGAACAAGCCCAGTCTCGGGCCTCATGGCATCAGATACAATAATGACAAAATGAAGGGGAAATGAATGGACAAAGTGAATGGAATGATAAATCAGCTAAAACATCTGGAATTAATAACCAGATGCTTCTAACCTGATAAATTCCCTTGGTCTGTCCAAGGCAAAATTGTTAAGATTAGAGGAAATTGAGAGTAGATTATAATGAGGAATTAGAAAGGATACTCTGAGAAGTTAAGTTACAGAGATCTTTCCAAGGAGCTCTCTATAGACATGAGGGAGTTCAGTAATAGTTCTTTAGATTTTAGGCCATGCGCTTCAGCTTTACTGTGGAGGGTAACCTGCGCTCATTCTGTCAAGATCACATCTTGAGGCCTCTCACTGCCTCAAAGGTCTGAAGACCTAATTTCTAGGTAGCACAGAACATGAAAGATTGCCTCACCTAGGGAGCTGCTTCAACTTCTTTTAATTTAAAATAAGCATTTAGCATATAAAAAGACAGATGGAAGCAAGGAAGAACTGTCATTTTCATAGACCTTGAGGGACAGCAGAACTAGGGAATTTAATTCTTAAAATGTCCTTTCAGTATCTCTTCATATTTGGCATTATTGCCAAAAGGTAATTAGTTTTTAAATGTTTATCAGGTTTGTTCATTTTGCTTCTTTGATGAATTTTTGCAATGACACAGGTCTTAGATCTTCTTTGGATGTAGGCAGAAAGTAGGAATGAGAAATAATAAAAGCCTAGGCAAGACCCAGGTTAAGATTATCAGCTTTTCATCATACAGAAGGAACACATGGATCTGGGTCACCATTCAGACTGCCTCTATAATCCTTAAATTCCACATGTAAGAGGAGCACAGACATAAATATACAATGGCAGTTCTTAAAATTGTTGGAAATACCCATCCCATGAGACTTGTCCGGGTTATAGAATGGAGTACAGTGGTAACTAAGCAGGTTTGATTGAATACAGATCTGCTGTGGACTACATTGGGTACCTCCCTTCACCTCCCCATTATCAGCCCTATCTATGGCTTCACAGAACTCTGCACTCCAACACCTTGTGTCCTCCATGGGGAACTAGGTAAGTGTTGGATGTTTTTCAATGCATGGGAGCCCTTGAGTGCTTTTACATAGCAGCCTCCCACCTTTTACATCTTTGGCCTTGCACTTGATAAAAACCCTTAAACATCCTGTAGATTCACTGCCACAGTTTCCAAACCTGTCCCCCTTGGTATTCATGTAGTAATAGCAGCTTTCCCAGGAAACTGTTTCTTTCCTGAATATTTTAACACACTGAATCTCCAGGCTTCTGCAGTGGCCCTGCTAACAATAACTTTATTCTTTGCATGGGGTGCCATCTCGCTTGTAGGTACCTGGCATCACTTGGAGGTGACATTACAGTACTCTGGGAGGTTACACTCATCCACACTGAGGTAGCAGGGTGTGGCTGCCTTTAGAAATTTGCGGTTTTTGCAGCAGGATCCAATGGACAGTCTTAATCTTTCTTCAGCTGGCAAGAGGGCAGACAACAGTGATCCTTTTGACAATCAAGGACACTGCCACAATCACATTCTTCTCCTTTATCACTGTCTTAGTCCCACAATATGGCTCTCCAAAGGAACTTTGGAGCTCAGGCTTATTAAACAGGCAAGTCCCCTCTCTGCTTATACCGGAGCTGGTAGAAGTAGTGCAAGCTGCAGCTGTTAAAGCCCATGTCTACCATAAGATATTCAGGCATAGTGTTGGGGGTTGAGTTTGTTCTCCTCAGTTCCTGTCCCCACTACAACAAAGAATTGAAGGGCAGAGACAAAGCAATGAAGCAAAGTACAAGTTTTATTTGAATACACTCCAAGGGAGGAACAGGCCAGAGTCAAGGTAGATGAAGGCTGGTTGATTTGAATAAATCAGAGGAGAAGGGGAAGCTCACTGACAAAAACTTGCAAGCTCAAATCAGAGCTCTCAGTAGCCTCTCCCTACTTACCTGAAGTAGGACAGAAAGAGTGAAGACTCATGCAAAAACAGAATGAAATAGCAAAGTGACAAAGACACCACTGAAGAGCACAGAGACAAAATGTGGTAAGCTGAGAAGTGTAAGAAGTCTTTTAAAAATACACACTCCAAGAAAGGGGAATGCAGGCAACCTCAGAGAGGAGGCACATTTAAGGGCTTAGGATTCAGTCTTTTAAGGCTTCAAGAATGGAATAAAGATAAAGGGTTAGGGGGGCATAGGCTTTTCATGCAGGTCTCATGACGTCTATCTCCAGTGAGAGACAATATGTCATTATCCATAGTCAGTCTTCCAGATAATTCTGTAGGATAAACTTCCTATTCTTCTCCAAGATAGTGGCTATCCCCAAACACTGGGAACATATCAGTTAGACTGCTTGCCTCGCTTTAAGATAAGTTGTTGACTGATTACCAAAGATATGCCAGGAATCTAACCCCAATTCTCTTTCAAAATGAAATCTTAGCCTTAAGATAAATCCCTTCTGTTCTTATTTTGCTATTCAAATCTTGACATTTTTTAAGAAAAATTAATCATGATGCTTGTCCCATGTCTCTTTCCTATCTCACCTGCATTAGCTAGAGCAAGCCTCAAGGTCAACCCAGATTCAGAGCATGAGGAATGAACTCACATTGCAAAGGGTGTTAACTCTGTGAGTCCTTTCTGGCTCTCTGGCTTTATCTGATTAGTTCCCTGAGTTCTTGGTGGGCTCCACCTTCTTTTCATCCCACTCATACGTGTCTTTCTGCCTAACTATAGTACAAGAGGGTCTGGCCGTGGTACTTGCAGGCCACATGGTCATGTTCATTCTCACGTTGCGGCCAAACTCATGAACCATGAGAGCTGTGAAATGCAGTATACTTTCATGAAGGAAAGGGTTAACACCGGTTGCATTCTTAGCAGTGCAGATACCACTAAGAAATGTATAGTCCTGGTACGTCCCAAGACTTCAGTCAATAATCATATAGCAGTGTTGTGCTTTACCTTCTCAAAAGATGTCAGTCTCTCCAACAGTTAAAATTTTGAAGTGTTTCCTGCAAATGCAGAGATTTGCACTAGGTTTCTCTCCATACATATTTCTAACCTAATAAGTAATGCTGTTACATTCAGCTCTTTCATGTACTTGTTAACAGGAAAGCTTGGACATCCATTACCATCTTTGTTGTCTTGGTAACAGTATTTGAAACTGTTTATTGTCAACCACACACAAAAAAAACATTTCCATGTACTTGGGAAGTGACCACAAATATGGCATAGGAACTGACAAAGGTTCTAGTCCACTATGAAATTATGAAGTAGTTAAGAACTCTTTCTTTTCATCTCTACTGACTGCAAAAGACTCACCTTATTTTAAAGATATGCTATAAATCATATGCTCAAAATTCTTTGACATACATATAGGCTTAATAGCAAAGATAGTGCCATGCAAGTTCAGGATTCCCTTTAACCCTAAGCAAGCACTGATAAGCGCAAGAAAAGCAAGGTCACCCTCTGAATACACAGTCATCCTAAGTAAAAGGCAAGCCCAAGCCTAGTTAACCATTTTTTGATGGGTACAAGCAGGGAAGTTCTTGACAATCTTTTCTTTTGCTTCAAAAGTATTAAAAATATGTCATTTTCCTTGTTTGAGCAGAACATAGAGCACCTTTTCTGCTTTTTGTTGCAGTCCTCTTTATATCAGGTTCCTAAGGATGACTATTTTATAATAAAGAAATTCCCACTTAAAATACATTCTTTGACAAATAGTCACTGTTACCAATAAGATGATATGCACTTAACATGGGAAGGGCCCAATCCTGACCAGGGATTCCTGGAAGAAAATCAATTCAAAACCTTACCCATAACCACTCAGTTTCATACAAGAAAGAGCAGGGAGAAGGCAAAATAACTAACTAGGGTTGTCATTGTCATGGCTCAAGTACAACAGCTAATGATCCCAGACCTCTGTCTCCCACGTTGCCTTCCCTGGAGCCCAAATCTTTGTCAGAAACATAATTGGCCAAAGCTCAAAGCTATGCTGCCTACCAGGACACCTGCTCTCTGCTGTGAGTATACATGATGACACCTGCCTTTTGACTCTGTTTTTTTCAGTCCTGTTGTGCTCTCTCTTCATGAATGCCCTTACTTTGCTACCTTCCTCAAAGCACAACAGTTTTAATGTTCCTTAGCTGAGCTCCTGCTCTCTTCATAGAGCAGTATACCAAGGAGAGGAAACCTTCAGAGGTCTAGCCAGTACTATGACCAGGGGTCAGGCCCCAAGAAAAGAAAAAATACTACCTTCTTCCCCTAGTCCCAGTCTCCATGGAACAACTTTCCCTTACTGTCATCTGTTATTCTTTTGAGTCATTGAAACTAAAAGTTCCACAGCAGGGGTTTGTGGATTTCTGCATAGGTCACAGGTCTCTGCTGTCCAATGCCTTTTGCACCATTTCCTGCTCTGTACCTTACCGCCCATTTCAAACCTCCAATCCTTTTCTTTTTCCCATTATTCACAGTATGTTTATTTGATCAATCCCAGAATACATGTAAACTGTTTTTAGAGTAGCCCATGTCTCTGTGAAAAGTGAATACATGACTAGAGAATATTTGTGTTCAGTTCTTTTTGTCTTTAGCCTGATAGTATGAGGTCAAAGTAACTATTTTTTATAAAATTATTTAGGTTAGTACTTTTCTTTCCAGACCTATTCCATATGGTTGTTATTAATTTTTAATACAGTTCGGTTCACATGTTACTGTTTATATTCATTTTGGTTTGTCCCACATTTTGGATGATAATGATTTGGGGAGTATGTGAAATGTTACCATGATCCTAAATGTCAATACTGTAACAAAATTACTCAGAGTACATCTCCTTGAGCCATTAACCTATTCCCACGTCCTCATTCTTTCCACGCACCAGTCTCAATCGTACTTAGTTTATGTTCTTATATTTCTTTCTGCACAAATTAGGAGACACAATATATTTTCTTCTATACTCTTCTTTCTTATGTAAATATAGCATAACATTTTATACTTTCCTTTTTTTAATTAAGGTATCATTGATGTACAATCTTATGAAGGTTTCACATGATGTACTTTCCTTTTTGTGTATTTTTTTTATTAAAGCATCATTGACATGCAATCTTTTGATGGTTTCACATAAACAACTGTGGTTTCAACATTTACCCATATTATCAAGTCTTCACCACCTCTATTGTAGTCACTGTCTATCAGTGTAGTAATATGAGAGTCATTAATTGTCTTCTCTGTGCTGTACTTCTTTCCCCATGACCTACCTATATTGTGACTGTGAATTATAGTACCCCTTAATCCCCTTCTCCCTCCCAACCCCCTCCCCTTTGGTAACCACTAGGCCCTTCTCAGTGTCTGTGCTTCTGCTGCTATTTTGTTCCTTCAGTTTTACTTTGTTTTTATACTCCACAAATGAGTGAAGTCATTTGGTACTTGTCTTTCTCCTCCTAGCTTATTTCACTGAGCATAATACCCTCTAGCCCCATCCATGTTGTTGCAAATGGTAGGATTTGCTTTCTTCTTATGGCTGAATAATATTCCATTGTGTATATGTACCACATCTTCTTTATCCATTCATCTACTGATGGACACTTAGGTTGCTTCCATATCTTGGCTATTGTAAATAGTGCAGCAATAAACATAGGGGTGCATATGTCTTTTTGAACCAGGGACCTTGTTTTCTTCAGGTAAATTCCTAGGAGTGGAATTCCTGGGTCAAATGGTATTTCTATTTTTAGTTTTTTGATGAACCTCCATATTGCTTTCTACAACAGTTGAAACAGTTTACATTCCCACCAACAGTGTAGGAGGGTTCCCCTTTTTATGTACTTTCCTTTTTAAACTTAACAGTATAATCCTGTAAAACAGTCCATATCAATTCATAGAGATCTTCTTCATTCTCTTTTGTTTGTTATTCAGAGCTTCATAGTACTCCATTTTGTGGATGTACCATAATCTACTCAATCACTCTCCTATATATGGGCTTTTAGGCTGTTTATATTATTTTGAAATTACATACAATGTATCAACAAATAATCTTGCATGTATGTGTTTCTGTGGAGGCAAATTCCTAGAAATAGGAAGGTAAGGTCCAAAACTAACTATATATGTAGCTTTGTTTGATATTGCCAAATTCCCTTTCAGAAAGGTCTTGACAGTTTGAATCACTAGCACTATATCACAATGCCTATTTCCCTACATTCTAAGCAACAAAATATGTAACCATATATTTTAATTTTCACCAAACTGATAGATGAGAAGTGTCATCTTCATGTTAATTGGTATTTTTCTAATTTTAAGTGAATTTGAATATGTTTTAATGTGTGTAAGGGCCATTTTTATATCTTTTAATGATTGTTCATCTCTTCTCTCCTTTTTCTATCAAGCTTTTGGGTTTTTTCCTCCTCAATTCCACCCTCCATCCTTACTTTACTGAGGTATAATTCACACATAAAACTGTACTTACTTACTTGATCTGTACAACATGATGATTTTATAAATGTATACATTGTGAAATATTTATTTAGAATATAAATTTTCTAAAAGGCAAAGGAATTAGAATACTTAAAATAATTTTGTTTAAGAATAACAGGAGGGGTTGCTCTCCACCTAGAGACAGCCATTCTCTCTTTCTGCCATTAAAACCTTTGCGTGGGAATTTGAGCTGCCTTGGGACCCCTCACTCCCTGATCCTCCTCCACGAACCCACCTTCCATCTCCCCGGTCGCTCGATGTCCCACACAACACTGGCCTTCGGTATGTTACTCCTCCAGGACTATCAAGGCCTTCTCACGAAGAATAACGAAACCAGCTATGATGACTTTATGAATCATCTCAAGATGCCCACCCTTCCCCACTCTACAGCAATGGCCTCGCCAACCCCAGAATCTGCACTCCCTTCCAGCAGGAAGTAACTAGAGAATGAGATTCTATGCCCAGTTCCCCAGAGGCCCCTATTAAGAAAAGAAAAATATGGGAATGAAGGCAATTCTGGCACACTTAGACACCCCACCCCTCAAGATCCAATCACCAATGGCGAGATGATCATCCCACCCCTTAAGATCCAATCACCAATGCAGAACACACCCTACCCCTACTCCTTAAAAACATGCTTCTTCACCCATGAGCTGCTGCTCTCCACCTAGAGACAGCCATTCTCTCTTTCAGCCATTAAAATCTCTTGTGTGGAGAAAAAATAAATAAATAACAGGAGGATCCACCCTACTCAACTTCAAGACTGTGTGGTATTGGTCATGGGACAGATCAGTGGAACAGAAGAGAGAAACCACACATGTATGGCTATCTGATTTTTCACAATGCAGCAAAAGCAATTCCATGGAGGAAGGACAGACTTTTCAGCAAGCGGTACTAGAAAACTGTATAAACCAAACAATGAACTTCAACCTAAACCTCACACTTTATACAGAAATCACCTCAAAATGGATCATAGATTGAAATTTAAAATATAAATTTTACAGACAGGATAAAATATTTGCAAACCATGTATCTGATAAAGGACTCATATCTAGAATAGATAAAGAACTCTGCCTTACTCAATCCACTTGGAAAATGGACAAAAGATGTGAAGAGACATTGCAATGAAGAGGATATATGGATGGCAAATAAGCACAGGAAAAGATGTTCAACATTAGTAGACATTAGTAGAAATACCAGTTAAGACCTCATGAGAGATCACTAGAACTATTAGAACAACTAAATTTAAAAAATTGAGATAATGCCAAATGTTGGCGAGGATGCAGAGGAACTGGATCATTCATTATATTGCTGATGGGAATGTAAAACTGTATAAAAGCTCTGGGAAATAGGCAGGTTCTTAAACTAAAAAAAAAGCACAAGACTCAGAAATTATACTTCTGGATATTTAGCCCAGATAAATAGAAAGTTAGGTCTATGAGAAAATCTGTAAAATATTTGTGGCAGCTTTGTTTCTAAAGCCGAAAACTGGGAACAATCAAAATACTTCTCAAGGTGAAAGGTCAAACTATGGTACATCCATATCAAATGCTAGCAATAAAAAGAATGAACAACTGATGTATAACAATAACTTAGCTCAACCCCAAGGGCAATAAGATGAGTGAAAAAAGCAATCTGAGAAGGTCATGTACAGTATGATTCCATTTATGCAACATTTTTGAAATGACAAATATAGTAGTGGTTGCCAGGAATTAGGGATGACAGGGTGGCCAAGTATTTGACTATAGAAGGGTAGCATGAGTGAGAACTTTGTGATGGTAAAATAGTTCTCTATCTTGATTGCAGTGGGGGTTACAGAAATCTACACATGTGATAACGTTGTGTAGAATTGCAAATGTAGTGATATCAATGTCCTGGTTTTGGTATTGTTCTATATTAAAAGCGGGAAGCTCAGTGAAGGATATATGTGACCTCTCTATATTTTCCTTGCAATTACCTGTGAATTATTTCAAAACAAGTTGTTTTTTTTAAAAAAACAGTATGACTACAAAACACATTAAGAAAAACACTATTACAAATACAAGGAACACTTGGTGAAACACAGTTTTAGAGGAAGTCTTATCATGTATGTCTTTCAGAATTTGACTTCAAGCAGATAAACGAGAGAATGGTATATACACCAAAATAATAGAAATATGCAGTTTGATCATTTATATACACACACACACGACTTTGTTTCCTACAGAAAATGTACACTCTTTTCCATGTCCACTGAACAATTGTAAAAATGATGAAAAATATTCATAAATTTCTCAGTAGAAAATTGGTTAGGAGGATATTAGCAAAGTGGCAGAATAGCAAGTCCTAGACCCTCATTCCCCTCAGAAACAAATTGATTCAGCAACAGTTCACAGACAAATTCTTTTTGTGAGAAATCCAGGTACTAACTGAAAGGCTCCGGTATCCAAAGTGAACATGAAACCAGATTCTCCAAAGCTAGTAGGGAGATTTGAGACACCTTCTTGCCAGAATCCCTACCCCTGGAAAAATGCTATACAATCAGAAAGAGATCTCCTAGCTCCCAACTTTTCCCAGAGAAGGGAAGGTTTGTGTACCAGCATCCCAATTTTTCTGTGGGAGCTCCCCAGAGGACTGGGAGTCTTGGAACTCTGATGGGACAGGCACAGTCTAGCCACATGGGGGAGAACAGAGATGGCAGTTTGGATTGGTGGGCAACATAGGTCTTTACCTTGCCCAGCACAGAGTAGATGAAATATCCCAGCTCAGCCTGCCCCTGAGGAGGGAAGGAGTTGATCCATATATCAAATGCCCCAACTTCTCCAGAACTGCCAAAAAATCTGAACTCTGTTTTGCCAGTCTTGGAGCCCTGGTGGGTCTGGTGCAGTATAGCCACCTGGAGGAGAACAGAGATGATGGTTTGAATGAGTAAATGCCATAGTTCCTCCCCGTGGCTCAACACAGAGCAAGCAGACAAAAAACATAGCTGTCTCATGCTCCTTGGGGATGAAAGAACTGGTAGAGGCCTCCAGAATCTCTGTCCAGACTGACTGGTTGGTCATCTCCTGTATGAGGCCAGTCCATGAAGACTGAAAGAGTTGTCTGCTTTGTCTAATATACAGACACCAATACAGAGAATCAAGAAATGAGGAATCAGGCAAAGATGTTCCAAATAAAAAAGCAAGTAAAATTCCAGAAAGCAACCCTAATGGAGGTTTATGATTTACCTGATAGAGAATTCAAAATAACTATCATAAGATGTTCACCTTATGGTCAAAAGAACAACTCATGAACAAAGTGAGAATTTCAAAATGGAAGATATAAAAAAGTGCCAGACAGAAACCATGGAGCTGAAGAATGCAGTAACTGAACTGAAAACTCACTAGAACATTCAATATCAGACTAGATTGAGCAGAAGGATCAGTGAACTCAAAGACAGATCACTGAAAATAGTTCAGAGGAGCAAAAAGAAAAAAAGAATAAAAATGAGTGAAGAAAGCTTAAGAGACTTATGAGATACCATCAAGCAGACCACTATACATATTACTGAAAGGCTCCTGAAGGAGAGAGTAAAAAAAAAGGACCAGAAAGTTTATTAAAAAAAACAAGGGTTAAAAACTTCCCAAATCTGGAGAAGGAAATGGTCATACATATTCATAACTGTGTAAATTCAAACAGGTGGGATTAAAGACGGCAGGGTAAGAGGTGAGACAGAGGCTTCCTCCCAAAACCACATATAATATGAAAATATAATTAATACAACTAATCTTAAAAGAGCAACAGGAAAGAGGGCTGCACCAGGCGCATAGACCTAGAGAAAAGAACAGGCCTCAAGGAACAGGGCACAAACACGGCTCCCCTGCAACCCCCGACATTGCTCCAGGGGCTGAGCAGCTCCAGAGAGTAGAGCTTCTGGGCACTAGAGAGCACCACACACTATGAAATGTCAAAGGAATCTTGTTCAAAGCAAAATTATGAATAGACCAGAGAAAGATTCAAATGAAGTTGACCTCATAAATCTTCCTAAAAGAGAGTTCAAAATAAAAGTCATTAACATGCTCATGGAGGTACAGAAAAATATTCAAGACCTCAGGAATGAATTCCAGTTGGAGATCCAATCATTACAGAACACAGTATCAGAAATGAAACATACAATGGAAGGTTTTAAAAGCAGATTAGATATGGTGGAGGGAGACAATAAATGAAATAGAAATTAGAGAAGAGGAATACAAAGAAGCTGAGGTACAGAGAGAAAAAATCTCTGAGAATGAAAGAATATTGATAGAACTGTGTGACAAATCCAAATAAAACAACATTTTCATTATAGGGGTACCAGAAGAAGAGAGAGAAAAAAGGGATAAAAAGTGTCTTTGAGGAGGTAATTGCTGAAAACTTGCCCAATCTGCAGAAGGAGATAGTCTCTCAGGCCATGGAGGTGCACAGATCTCCCAACACAAGGGACCCAAGGAGGACAACACCAAGACATATAGTAATTAAAATGGCAAAGATCAAGGATAAGGACAGACTATTAAAACCACCCAGAGAAATAAGATCACATACAAAGAAAAGCCCATCAGACTATTATCAGACTTCTCAGCAGAAACCTTACAGGCCAGAAGGGAGTGGCATGAATGTATTTAATGCAATAAAGCAGAAGGGCCTGGAACCAAGATTACTTTATACAGCAAGATTATCATTTAAATTTGAAGGAGGGATTAAACAATTTCCAGAAAAGCAAAAGCTGAGAGAATTTACCTCCCACAAACCATCTCTACAGTCTATTTTGGAGGGACTGCTATAGATGGAAGTGTTCCTAAGGTTTAATAGGTGTCACCAGAGGTAATAAACCCACAGTAAAGAAAGTAGAACAGCTAAATACGAAGCAAATGCAAAATTAAATCAACTACCCCCAAAGTCAATCAAGGGATAGACCAAGAGTACAAAATATGATACCAAATATATAAAATATGGAAAAAAAAGAACCTTTAGATTGTGTTTGTAAT